TAGCATTTGAGACAGGTTAGGTACAAACTTTAGGTGATATCTTGCACTGGAGAGGAAACTTCTGATTGCAGTTTCATCCTTGGGGACCGGCATGTTGAGAATGTCCTTGATTTTCTCTTCACCGGGCTTGATACCATCTGCCGAGACACGCTGACCTAAGAAGTTGCATTCTGGAACACGGAACTGACATTTGGACTTGTTTAGTGTTATACCAGCTGACTTATAAGTTTGGAGGACTTTGAGGAGGCGATTGTCATGCTCTTCAATATCTCTTCCCCAAATCAGATCATCATCCACATGGTTGATGACTCCTTCAAGGCCTTGCAGTGCTTTTACTTTACGGCTTTTGTACACTTCCCCAGATGACTTCAATCCCATTGGCATTCTCCGCCATTGAAATCTACCAAAAGGGGTAATAAATGTAGTGAGCTGTCTGCATTTAGGGCTCAACTGGACCTGCCAGTACCCCCACTTTGCGTCCAGCTTACTAAACAGTTTTGCTTCCTTTCCAATGGTTGCGAGGCATTCGTCTACAGTGGGCATCTCATGGCACTCCCTTAGAACATACTTGTTCAATTGAGTGTAATCAACGGTAATTCTTACACTGCCGTCTGGTTTCAGAACGGGGACTGCAGCTGCACACCAAGGGGTTGGTTTACTAACCTCTTCGATGGCTCCCAGTTGTATCAGTTCCTTGATGGCCTTCTTAGTAGGTTCAAATAGAGGAACTGAAATTCTCCGGCTCTGAGTGACTGCATATGGTATGGCTCCTTTTTCCAGTCTGATTAGGTAGTCTTCGCCCATCAGTCCAAGTCCTTCAAAAACCTCTGGAAATGATTCTTCTGGTTTCTTGCTGACCTGGGATACAGATAAAACTTCTGGTGCCACACTAATTAGTCCCATTCTAATGGCTAAGTCTCTTGACAACAGTGGTTCCTTTTGATTTGGCATAATGTAAACCCAGGAGTTGTACGTTACACCTTTCCATGAGAAATTCACTTTGATTTTGCCCGTTATCTTTGCAGGGACATTCCCAGCAAGCAACACCTTGCAATTTGGGGGAACTATCTCAATAGGTTTAAACAGTTCTAAATGTTTATTCCCCAAAATAGGAATGTCAGCGCCACAATCTAGCTTCCAGCAGACCACTTTATTATTTGAGGTTATATTTACTCTAAGGGCCTTACTTGGGGTTGCTTCAATCCTGTCTAAGTAGTAGGTTACCTCCTCGGCGTGTGGTTCATCCTCCACGTTGAGTTCGTTAACCTTGGCCTTGCACATGCTGGTCCGATGTCCTTTTCGCCTGCATTTTGCACATATCGTGTTCTTGGCTGGACACTCGGAAAATGGGTGGCTTGGTCGCTCTCCACACTTCCAGCAGAAAGCCGGGTACTTGGACTGCGATTGCGGCGTCTTCTTGTCCTGCGGTTTGAACTTAGGATTAGGGTTGGACTTAAAAGGTTTCTTCCCTTTACCTTTGTTGCTGTACGCTGCGTGAACTTGAGCGGTTCCTGCGTCGCCGCGGCCATTCCGAAGGGTTGGTAGCTGCCTCGAGACTCCTTCTGCTTGGAGCACCCTCTCCTTCGTCTTGGGCAAGTCGATGTTCTCGTCCATCTGCATGGCCGCTGACAACTGAGCATTGAGAATCCCTACTATGATCCTATCTCTTATGAGTTCGTCTTTCAGGTCTCTATAGTTACACTTCTCTGCCATATTGTGCAAATCTGTGATGAATTCAATGACTGGTTCGCCCGGTCGTTGAAAACGTTGGTTAAACTTAGCTCGTTCGAAGATGACGTTGACCTTGCCGCCCAGGTGGTTGGTGAACTTCAAGATGAGCAGGTCAATGTCTTGTTCGTTTTC